TAACTAGGTCAACAGGCTGCACTTGCACGCACCTTGGGTACATTGGGTATTGACGTATGTTATGTGTCCGAAACTAGGATCAATGACTCTACTGGGGGTTGTTGAATTACTGCGCCCCACTTGTCATCTCGCTATTGGTTGCCCGCATCCGGAGGACGCTAGTGCAGCACTCACGGGTCAAGCTGGGGTAGGTATCATAGCTCCAAGGTTGAGCCATTGTGGGTTGGTTGGATTCCGGGGAAGAGCCGTTTATGTGCAGCCCATTTGACGAGGTCAGCTAAGGTTGATTCACGAAGTAGTGCAAAACGCTGCTAGTTTGTGACTTCCGCTTATACTCCCACCGACTGCAGTTCTGATGCTGCAGCTGTGTGCGAAGCGCCGGTTGTTTCTGAGTAGCGCCGCTTTTAGACAGTCGGCGCCGAAGTTCTACTTGTCGTCTTCCTGTAACTGGCCAGCGATGGACCCAAATAGAGCATTTTGCCATGTTACAAATGGCGTGGTTCCATCCTAGATTGTCGCTCGTACTGGATTACCTGCATCGACTCTGATCATGCGTTGGTACGCTGTTTCTCCATGAACTTTACCAGGAGGCGCACCAAGCGTCTTCCCCAATTGGCATCGGAGAAATTGTCTCAGCCTTCGGTCAGGCAAGGCTATCAAGACGCAGTAAGTACCGATCTTTTGCTGTCTTGTCCTAATGACACTTAGCTTCAGTGGAATAGAATCTCGACATCCATACACGACGCAGGAGCATCTGCTCGTGACACTATCAATGATCACCGCACCAGTCACTGGATCTCCGAGAAATCGGTGAACATGTTGGAATCCAGGTGAAATCTTCCGGCTGGCTCTGAGTACACTGGGACTAGACGGACTATAAGGCGCGAACTAAAGCGGAGCCTGCGTGTTGACAAGGAAGTCTGGTGGACCAGTCGGCCTTAAGAAATGTAGGAAGTAGGAGCAGTAGGCAATTACCACAAGCCCTTCCAGCTGCTCCGCACCACCGGTCCCAGGAAAACCAGGCGTCAGTGAGACAATCAGGGACAGCGCAGGTACTCTGATACACAATAAGGAGCGCCGTATGGCTCTTTGGGCGGAACTTTTTTCGGATCAGTTCAGTTAGCCTCCTGCTCCCGAACCTCTTTCTACTCAGGTGATACAGGACGAGCCATGGCCGGTGAGTTTAGAGCCTCCGTTGGAGGCTGTGGTCGGTAACTCGATCACAGCCCTCAATCGTTTTCGTGATGCTGGCCCGGATTCCCTGCCACCTGCACTATTTAAGGGTGGAGGTGAGGTCCTCTGCAAAGCACTGACCTCCCTATTCAAATATCTGGAAGGAAGAGAATGTCCCAAAATACTTTCGCGTAAAGGTGTTCCCACAAAATATCTAAACACCCTACGTGCTCTGTACTCGAACACTGCAGGCCGCGTCAGATTCTACGGTGAGTTCTCGGATAGCTTTCCGATAACAAGTGGCGTTCGTCAGGGTTGTCCGATTTCCCATTTTTGTTCACTTTCGTCGTGGACTCCATCATAGAGTGTTCTCTCACGGAATCTCACGATGTAGGCGTCGAGGTCCTGCCTGGTGAATGGTTAGTTGATCTAGATTATGCGGACGAAATCGTCTTGCTTTTTGACGATGTTGCGGAGGCACAATCAACCCTGAATAGCCTGTCTCATTATTTGGTATGCGCTTCGCACCTTCAAAGTGTTGCTGCCGAACCCACAGCCACTTTATGACCCCTTGATTTCTGATAACGAGGAATGAAATGAAATGTGAAATGAAATGTGTCAGCTTATACGCCGTAACGGCGCTTCGCTGCCGCGCGACCACCACCAGTCGCGCGCGGGCTGAGTATACCGCGAGGACGCCCACCCCTACGCGGATTCGAACCGGTGACCTTATGGTTGGAAAGCAAACGTGCCGACCACTCGGCCACCGGCCGACAGATAACGATAACGAGGAATTCGAGGTAGTCGATCGATTTGCTTACCTTGGCAGCTGCGTCAGTAACGACGGACGCATAGGAACTGAAGTCAGTCCTTGCGTTACAAAAGCCAGAACTGTCTTCTTGAACCCGCGGCATCTTTGACGACAGAATGGAGTTTCCCTCCGTCTGAAAGGCCGTGCATACAACGCCACAGTGAGGGCCATCCTGCTCTATGAGAGTGAGACTTGGCCACTTCGGTCTGAAGATCTGAGGCGCCTTCAAGTCTTTGATCATCATTGTCCGCGGAGCATGGCTGGTATCGGGTGGCACCAGCGTGTTCGCAACGATGATGAGCGTAGGTGAGTACTAGGCAGTGATAACCAAGCTTGTTCTTTGGAACAAAAGATAGCACAGACGGAGTTACGTTGGCTTGGACACGTACTATGTAAGCCTGGTCGCCACCTACCTAAAAGCGCCTTGTTTAGTCTGCCAGGTGTAGGGTAGCGCGAGGCTCGAGGTGGACAAAAGCTGACTTGGCAGCGGGAAATGAAATCACTGACGACTAAATTGGGTGCCGTCGCTCCGTCTCGCCTTCCGGGCTGGACTCCACGTGACCCGCCTTGTGCTTGGCTCGAGACTTTACAGGACCTGGCTGGCAACCGACACCAGTGACGCATCTGCTGCCGTCTCCTAATCGGACTACCTGTTTAAAGTTTGTTGGGTGCTGAGTTATCTGCGGGGTAATTTCTGATTATGATACGGGACAGTGCAAACCGCAAGGAAGCTGTCTGGCTGATGCCGCCTTGTCTTTTGTACGCTAGCCAGCTGTTTGTGACGGTCTGTTAACACGGTGTATGCGCCTTGACTCTGAGTGTTTGCTTAGGACATTAAGGGTTTACCAGAGGTTTACCTTCTCTCCCTCTTCTTATTCTTTATTCCATAAGTCTTCATGGTTGTATGGCAGCGAAGCATCAGTTCAAGTGGCTGATGTACCACTGTTGTTGATTGATTGAATAACCGCGCGGTACCACGCCTTCTGAAGAAACCATGAATTTATGTCATGTGTTTGGTTTTCCTTCCACGATAACTGTGCGTTCCTTTGATTTTCATGGTGTTTGATGACTCCATGCCTATTCGTATCCTACTGAAAATATTTGCACAATTTCGTAGTGAACCAATATGCAGGTGCTGCATACTCGATGCTACGAGCCTGGTTATGTAGTCTTTAACTGACGCATAGCTGTTGAGCTTCTATTAAAATGGAACGTAAGTAGCTTCTGTGTAAATAGCGTACTATACGCATCAATGCCGAACCAGATTAGTTCGCGTTAGTACTTTGACTAGAAAATCGAAGCGGTTGTCGCTGTCTATGTAGAGCAGCATGTGAACTACAGCCCACCTATGTTGTCCACATTTGGTTGGGCGTTGTTTTTCACTTTCGGAAGGGACTGTCTTTCAGGTTGGAGCGATTACCAACATATCATTTGCGTTTTCCCTGCGTGGTCACATTCACAAATTAGGTGGATTTTCACCACTAGGTATCCACCGGTATGTGACGAGTTAGCCTTCCCATAGCCACCGTTCATCTACTGACGTCGGAATTGCGAGCAACGACTGTACAGTTTTCGCGCATTGTAGAAATAAGTCATTGAAGTCTTGCCTAGAAATCTTTAGCTTTTTATTGGTTACTACTTACTTCTACCTCTTTTTTCAGCAGTATTAAAAAAGTAGAACACAGTTGTCAGTAGTGCGCCGGCACCTTTTCCAGACGTTACGCTACTTCGCGACCACCAGCGGTCACATGCTCGGTAGGAATACTGCAGTCATCCGAATCTACGCAAACTTGAACCGCCGACCTGTAGATTACTGGCCAGACTGCTTAGCGGTGTCGGTGATAAATGAGGCACATCCACACAGCCATACCATCTTATCAACAGCGTTCTTGTTTCGGGCATGTTATATCAGTTCAAAGACGTCTGTTGCGATGTGCCTCCCTTACACATGTCAGAGTAGGCAGAATTGTGGGTATACCTTATCGGCCTCCTTGGTCTTCGGTAGCTCGTACGTTTTGGGGGCGTAGGCACCTATTAGTCTAAAATAGTTGTGCGTTGTTTCTGTTTACATCTCATGATGCCTCAATAGATTCGACCGGACACTTAGTTTTTTCCTTCTTCGTTGCCGCAATTTCACTTGTGTCCTGGATTTTAACACCTTTTTCGGTTTGTATTCATTTTACTTCTGCAGCCAGATTCATCCATAGTAACGACTATTCAAATCGACCAAACGTTTGGTTTTCAGACTACACAATGCCTTCTCGTCTCCGGCTTGTCGAACTTGTTGCCTGAAAGCACTTACTTGTTTTGATATTTGGTTTCCTTGACTTAGGTTCAACTACGCTGAGTAGACTGTTACCTTCATTTTATGCGTCTTTCAACAGCACTTCCAGGAACACTGGTTGATAGCTCTTCATTCGCGATTACTACTTATATGTCGTGCTGCCACATTTCCATATTTTATCGCCAGCCTTGAGGGCTTCGAATACCTCATCATCACTCTTATACTTTTTTTGCTTAGATCCTCCGCTGATTTAGAACTCTGCTTCTGCACTCTGCCTCATGACTTTGTGATGCCAATCAGTCGGCGCACTACTATTCGCTCTGCAGTTTTCAGCACTACTCCCTTAAGGTACTCTCATTATTTTTCTTCAATAGTCTTCTACCATTCTCGCAAAGAACACCTGAGCAGTATTTGTCTTGCGCACCCCATGCATCCACACTCCCGCCAATGGAACATGTCATCTTCCCCGTGTTATCTCGCTGGTCTTCTTCGTCATTCTACTCGTACATCATTTCACTGAGTGTCCTCGCATTGATGCTACAGTATCTGAGTATATACAAAACCGTGTGGTGGAGTGCTAACTCTGAGATTGATTATCCCTTGGTAAGCCCGCTTTCACTCCGCTTTCATTACTTCTATTCTACCTAGGATTTCCGGTTAATCGATTTTTTCTTATTCGGTCACTGTGTGAATATGCTGGTTGCTCCACGATCATATTTACTATTCATTCAGGTAAGGTGTTCCACCTTTAAATCGATGTACTTCCGTTCCGTGTTGACATTCGTTCGATGCCATCGCTACACGCCACTTTTCACTATTGGAGAAATATTTTCAGGGTTGTGGATGGTCTGAATCGGTCCCGTCCTTCTCCATACTCGGCATGTTAGTTAACTCATCTCGATGATTGCACCATCATAAATAGTCAACTCGCCGAGGTTACCGCGAACACTGGTAAAATCCCCTTAGTCTTTCTCAACTGGAGTCTGGTGTGAAGACGGCGGGATTTCAGCCTATCTGTCAACTCTAGGACGCACAACGTTGCATGGTTCATTGCGATGAACACTGCGCGTTTGAAGCCTAAAGCGCTGCTTGTCACTGATCGCCCATGATTACCGAACCTTAACTCGGTTTCGTGGGCACACCGAGTAACCAATACACGCATGTATCAGTTGATGCCTATCGGCACTAACTATGGTATTACACTCTATCATCTTTTAATATCAGGCTTCATCTGTCAGGTCAGGTTTTTTGCATACCTGTGTGCTAGTGTTTTTCCGTGTTGTCACAAACCGCTGGGCCATTTTGTTTTTGTACACTCACTGCATGTGTACCTCTTCTGCAATCTGCAACAGGCGCCTCTCGTTGGCGCAGTTCGATAACGTGGTGTTCGGCCTGTGGTTGTAAGGACAAGGCGTCTACCTTACAACCTGGAGGTCATGATTTCGAGCCTGCGCAGACGACCAGTCGACCCTCACAGTATCCTTAGCCTACGCGCGACTGGTGGTGGTTGCGTGACAACGAAACGTCAGTACGGCCTATCTGGGTACTGCTGCTGCCTACCCAGGTATCTTGGAGTATTTTTCTTATCGAGGGCACGCTTAACTGGATCGAACCACGATGTGTTCGGGTGGCGGAATGATGACTCAATCAAACGGGAGATTGAGCCCCTGCCTTTTACCGTAGAGGAGTCACGGAATCAACCACGTGGGCGTTCACGAATCCCGTGTTACCTCACGTAGCCTTTATGTCGTTCATTATTTTGCCCATCCTACGAGTTCAATGTTTTTATTATTCTGTTTCTAATGGGGTTTTGTTTATCTTTACTTCTCCATGCTAGTTATCATTATACCCTCACGAGTGAGTGTGACTATGCCCAGTGTGTTATAACTCTTAGATCAGGGTTCTTTAACTGGACTGTACTACTGTGGAACGATTTGACGTGTGGCGCTTCGCGTCTCAGTATATCTCGCACTTTGATTGTTTTGCTCCATTACTGCTACACTAGGTTGCATCATCTTTACTTTCTTTGGTTGCTAATCAGCCACTTGCGTTATTCCATCTGTCTTCTCACCTAGATCCTTATAACATTCCTTAAGGTCAAGTCATCAAAGTGTTCGCTACCAGAATCAATAGTTCCCAGTGTGTCAGACATTATAAATAATAAATACATACATAAATTTGTATATTTACCGACGGACGGTACACGGCCCCATAAGTGGGAGCGATCATTGGTATAATGAACACGTTTCATAACATTAAATACAAGTTTATTGATAGCATTTCGGATCATGATTATTTTTCCTTGAGTCCTAGACCCGCGGAACTCATATGTAAAATTTACGGATGTTTGTATCGTCAGGAGTAGATAATAAACGAAGGGACTATTAGGCTGCAAAGACACAGGATTTGGTATGGTATATAATGACATGTAGTGTTTAAGCTAGCTGTAAGCTATTATATGTTTTTTATACCAACTTCTGTCAATGTTTCTAGTGTTTGCTGTGAGTCAAATATCTTCAGAGCATTTGGTATAGTGAGGAAGGTCTGAAGGAGATTTCGAAAAGTGACATGGCTTGTACACGTGCGTATCTGTAGGGGTAGTTTGTTCCACAGATAAGTGTATCTCACTAAGAAGAAATTCGACCGAATTTTATGACTTGAAAGGTTTGTACGTATCAAGTAGCCGCCATTACGTGTGGGGTAGATTGCAGTCTTCCGTAGTTCAAGTGCGGTGCTGTCTGCGTAAATTCGTTGGTTTATAATGTAGAAGAGAACGAGGTTGTTCTTTAAGCGTCTCAGCCAAAGTGCATCCAGCTGGAGTTTTCGACAGCGATCATAATAAGTCAGGTTTGAGCAGCGTCCCATGAGCAGTTTGGTAAATGATCGTTGGACATTTTCTAGAGCCTTTCTGTCTTTCTTTCTCAATTGGCTGTGAAGGATAGTACAATATTCCATAGTCGTTCGTACGATTGTCTTGAATGATTCAAGTCGTACTTCAGGTAGGGAGAAAGTTCTGGTGATATATCCGCATAGCTGCCTTGCTTTCGCAGCCTGATAAAGAACATGTTCGGAGAAATTGAAAGAGTTGGAGTACCTCATTCCTAAGTCCCGAACTGAATCAGACGTTGGGATCACGTTTCCGGCAAGTATAATTGAGCCTTCTGGGATGCGGCATCTGTACCCAAGTACTTGGGATTTCACTGCGGAGAACTTCATTAATAAGCGCTCACTAGCTATATTTAGTGCGGATAGGTCTTCACAGATGTTTCCCAAACACATATGTAGTTGGTCTGGATGAAATGAGTAAACCAGTTTGACATCATCTGCACACAGAAATGGATGTTTATGTTTGATCGGGTCACATATATTGTTTACATAGATTAAGATTAGTTCAGTCTGTTCGTAGCTGGCTCCCCCATTGTTTCCCACCTACATCTGACTACTGATAAACTCACCGATTTGCTTATCTCGCCTTGCATGTGACGCCTTCGACTGCAGTTTCACCCTGCCTAATTAGTCTCGATCAATCATCCATATCGATCCGTCTATTGGGACATATCTAACAGGCCACTCATTTTTTTAACACTAAAAATTTGATCAATTGTTTACTTACAAGCCTGACTTCTGGCTTTGTCTTGCCCTGCATTTCGTTGTTATGCGCTTTGTTTCGCTTGCCATTGGGACTGGCCTTTCACTGTGTCCAATGAGAATTTTTTACACTTAAGAGGAAGCTGTTTGAGGCTTGCTCCCTTTTTGCTCAGACCGGCTTTGCTTCTGACTAATTCCGATGGTCGTGGACCAGGTTCCGACTTGTAGATCCCTTCCTGGTGATAGGCGATCGGTTCCAGTCCATTCTTTGGATTCCCTGTGGTTGCGCGTATCTGTCAAAGGTTACTAAGCGTCATTGTCGCTCATACCCATTGCTTTTTAAATCGTGCTCAATTTTTGCCCTCGTACTATGCCATTACTCTAGTCTGATGAGTGTAATGACGCCATTTGCTTTTTAAACGTGAAAGTATTTAAATATGAACTGTTCGAAGCACCGATACTCTCTAAAAAGCCTACTTAGTCCTTCTTTCCTTCAAGAATATTGAGACTCGTTGTCCAATTCTAGCAAACAGCAGCGGAAGTGTTAGAACGCTGACGGAATCCTCAGAAAAGCCTTCCTTCTGCACTCCAATTGAAGACTACATGTGCCTTGCGAAAACTGGACATTAACTCCCTTTGTGGTGGACTAAAGGCGGACACTACTGCACCTGTTCTCAGTAGCGTGGAAAAGCCAGGATGCGAAACGGCAACCAGCCAACAGCGGACCGTACTGCCTCCCCCAAAGGAGAGAGACTTTAGAACCGCAGTTGTTTGTGCGCGAGGAATGGACGCACAGACAATGCACACCACACAACCCCTGGACACAGAAAAAAAACTCGCACCATGCAACCTCCAGCAAAGATACCGAAGATGATTGGATGTCTCGTTTGTCGAAACCGATGCACCTAGTATTAGCTATATTGACACAATAAATAATTCCGCCTGCACTTCCGTTTCTTACAGTCTGAACAATCGATTCCTCCAATGATTATACAGGAGCCGCTCGTTGACTCAACTATGAAGCAGGTTTAAACAATGAATGTGACGCACCGTAGTTAAATCAACCTGCAGACAAGGTGTCAGCGTCCTAAAAAAGCAGCGAAAATAGAGAATAGGTCGGTATTCTCTCCCGCCTGACTCCCTTAGCCACCCTGTATGCTCATAGAGAAGCTAGTTGGCTTGTACACCAATACTCAAGGCCTTTCCAATACATTCTTTAAACTGAAAGGCCGCTAACTTTACAGGTCATTTGACCTCATCGGTGTTACTGTGATGTGTTTACACGCTGTGGGGACGAACGCCAAAGTCTCCCTACCAAACAGTCACTTTTCCGAAGCAACATATTCACCGGAAAAGGAAACGTAACTATGTATTATCAAATTCATATACAATGCGCGACTATAAATGATGCGAATTCGCCGATTTGCGCTTCTCTGGGGTTGTCTGCAGCTAAAACACAAAAACGCCTGCTTTGCAGCCTTGTACTGTCCCCAAACTCTATTCCCAAAGTAGACTAGCGCCTAGCGCTTACTTTAAAGCGTATTCTTGACGGCAAATGCACACGCCATCGGTACTTTCAACCGACTAACAGTATGTGCTCTACACGAATACCGTAATAACACCCAAACTCAAAAGCATATGACATCATAGCGTTTAAGTAAATATTGAACAGGGCAGGGACTAAGACAGCCTTGTAGTGACCTGGAGATTCCCCCTTGTGACTGTGTAAACTTTCCTAAAATATTCAAATTATAGCTTTCTCATGTATTAGGGAACTATTCGGTTTGCCTGTTGGAACGTTGTTCCCGTTTGCTGGAAACACGAACACGATCTCCGCCTTTGGCGCGCTGCTCGACTGCGAACGACGCTCTGTCAACGCACTCGACGCCAACGACATTCTCCCTAGCTAGCTCTCTCTGGGTGCCCTATTTTTAGCATTAGCTAACGCTCCTCCCGTTCAATAAACTTCTTCCCTAGTTTACTTTTGTGTCTTCTACCCACTACTTTTGGTTGGTCGTCTAGTCGCGTACCGGATATATAGCGCACGATCTACGCGCTATAGCCTTCCTTCACACTAGTGGCAACATCAAAGTCATCAAGATTACCCTCACACACGCGTGACGTGCGTGCTCCTGGTTCACTTG